AGCATCATTAAAGATAAAAAGGTACGGGGCTGGGGGTTTAGCTCAGCGGCATAAGTGCCTGCCTTACAACCAGGCAGTCCTGAGTTCAATCCCTGGTACTGATAAAGAGACACAAAAAAAAAAAAAAAAAAAAAAGAGTATTTGCCAAGATAAAAAAGGACACTTTGTATTGCTAAATGATTAATACACAAGGAAAAGAAAATAATTATGTAAACATGTACTTATTATAATCTGAAAAATCTAAATAAAACCTAACAACATTAAAAGAACTTGATAAATCTATGATCATTACACGTTAACACATTGTTTTCAGTATTTGATTAAACAAGCAGATATTAAAATATTACAAAGAATAAGAAGATTTTAACAATATTTTAAAGAAATTAGGCTTATTTGACATATGTAGAATGCTGCTTACAATAATTATAGAATGCATATCATTTTAGTACAACATGAACATTTACCAAAATTGATAATATACTTGGTTAAAAAGTATATCTCAACACATTTCAAAGGAATGAAACAAAAAGAGTAGGTACTGTATGTGGAATTCATCTAGAATCAATAACAAGACAACTAGAAAATCTCACACATGGAAATTAGGCAACATACTTCTAAACAGGCTCATGGGTGAAAGAAGTCAAAATGGAAATTTTTTTTAAAATTTAAGAGTGAAACAAAAAATCAAAACTTGTGTTTTGTAGAAAAATATTCTTTAAAGAGTATTTTAAAACTTAAAATGCAAATATCAGAAAAGAAAGGCTAAAATAATAATTTATTGAAATTCTTTTTAAAAAATAATAGCAATTCAAATGCAAACAAATTAGAAGGCAGAAAAATACTGCAAAGTCAAGAAAAATAAATTAGTGAAACAAAACCCACAGATAGTAGGGAAAATCATCAAAGCCAAAAGTTTAAAATTCACAAACTTTTAGCAAAGCTCACTGTTGTTTTTTTCTTTTTTAAAGGCAAATGCTATTAAATTTGAAAATAAAAAAGCACATGACTCCATAGTTCACAAATATTTTTCAAGGAAGACATTATGAATAACTTTGTGAAAATTAATTTGATAATTTAAAGACATTTTCCTTGAAAAATGCAGCTTATCAAAACTGATATGAAAAATAGAAAAGTTTATGATCCTACTATTAAAAACTTAAATTCTTCAACAAAAATTATCAGAAAGAAAACTGAACCCATATGATTTTATTGGTGGTCCATCTAAATTTAAGAAATATGGAACAGTCATCTTACAATTGTGAGACTACACCCCAAATTTCTAATTTAGCCAGCAAAACTTTGTTACCAAAGCTCAACAAGAAAGTTACAAGAAAAGAAAAGGATGTAAATCTCTCTTATGATATGGACACATGAAAACACAAAAGATCACAAAGACCAAATCAACCCAGAGTAAGAACAAAGCAGCAGGCAACCTGTTTACTAATTTCAAATTATACTGCAAAGCTAGAATAGCTAAAACAGGTTGATACTGCCATTCAAACAAACCGAAGGAACAGAATCAAGATTCCAGAAATAAATCCATGTATATAAATCAACAATTTAACAAGACAACATAATGGAAAAAGCACAGTCTTTTCAATAAACACTGTTAAAACAAAATACCCACATGCAAGAGTGAAATTGAACTTTATCTAACATGGTGGTCAGAAACAAAGCAACAAAAAATAAAACTCCTAGACATTGGTATTGGAAATAATTTTTATGTCAAAAGCCAAGCAACAAAGAGAAAAATAAACAAGTGGGACTACATCATTCTAACAAGTTTCTACACAGCCAAGTGAATGATTGAATGAGCAAGGGGGGGGACTATGGAATGGAAGAAAATATTTGCAAACTATCTGATATGGGATTAACATCCAAAGTATATTAAGAACTCATATAATTCAAATATTAAAAAACAAATAATCTGATTTAAAAAATAGATAAAGGCCCTGAATAAACAGTTTTCCAAAGAAGACATATAAGTGACCAACAGAACATGAAAAGTTGCTCAACATCAGAAATCAAGAAAATACGAGTCAAAAGCACAATAAGACATTTCCTCACAAGTATTAATGATGACTACTAAAAAAGACTCAGCAGGAGAACACTTGACCAACACATGTGAGGCCCTGACTCCAATCCCCAGCACCGGAAAAAGAAATACAAGAGACAGCAACAAATGCTAGTTAGGATGTAGAATTCTTGTGTACTGCTTTTGGGAATGTAAATTGTCATAGTCATTATGGAAAACTGTGAAACATCCTCAGAAATGTAAAAATAGGACTGTAGTGAAACCCGATCAGTTCATTGAAGTTATCTGCATTCCCATGTTCACTGCAACATTATTCACAATAGCAAAGACATGGAAAGGACCTAAGTGTCCAGATAAATGACAGATAAATGAATAAAGAAAATGTCAGAGGAAGAAGACAAATCTTGTTATTTGCAAAAATATGGATAAAACCTGAAGAAACTTGCTGAGTGAAATGATGCAGACAAAAACAAATAGTCTATGATCTTGCAAATACATGTGAAATGTAAAAAAGTCAGCTTCATAGAAACAGAGTAGTGGCTGCAGGCAGCATGAGGGTGGGGGACAAGAATGGGAAGATGTTACACATTCTTAGAATAAGGTAAATAAGTTTTGGAAATCTAATCCACAGCACAGTGACTGCAGTTAACAGTACCGTATTGTATACTTGAAGTTTTCTGAGAGTGGATCTTAAATGTTCTCATAATGGACACAGAAAACAGTCATGGAATTTATCTATCTTGATTGTGGAAATTATTTCACAATTTATAATATATTTATACTTTTTACATATATAATGTTGTCAATTATCCCTCAGTTAAGTGAGGATCAAAAAATAAGATGAATGCAAAATACTAAACAAACCCAAAAAGCTTTCACATCCACAATATAGCAAGAATTTGCAAAGCAAAAAGGCCAACCCAAGATAAATATGAGCAAAAGACAAAAACATGTTTCAGCTTCCTTTTGTAAAAACAAAGGAAATTTATTGTGTTATGGGTCTGTAGCCTGAAAGTCGGCATTACTTCACTGATGCTAAGATGTGAGAGCGTGGCTGTGCTCCTGGTGGAGTTTCAGGGTGAAATTGGTCACCGTGTCTTTCCCAGCTTTAAAGAGCAGGATGGCTTCCTTGGCTCAAGGACTGGTCCTCTGTCTTCTATCCCAGCAATACTGAGCTAGGTCCTTCTTATGCTGCCAGCCCTGGTTCTCTCTTCTAATTTCCTCTCCAACTCTTAGAACCCTTTGATTAGAATAGGCTCACCTATATAACACAGGATAATCTGCATTAAGTTCTGTTGATTATGAACCTTCATTTCACATGCAATCCTAACTTCCCTTTGCCGTGTAACACAACATAGTCACACGTCTGGAAATTAGGACACAGACATCTTAGGCAACATTGTTTTCAAGTACTGAAAAGCATATCACAAGGGAAAACATACAAATAGCCAGTAAAAATATAAGGAAGTATTTAACCTCATTAATTAGGGAAATATAAATTTAAATTGTAATGACATTGCTACACATCAGAATGGCTAATATTAAAAAGTCCACTGAGGGTACAGTACAACAGAAAGTCTATATATTGCTGGTAGAATTTTTACAAGTGCACAAGCATTCTGAAAATGTTGCAGTATCTACTAAGGCCTAAAATATTTATATCTAGCAATTTCACCCTTCAGTATATACTCAAGAGAAAAGCTTATGCACAGGTATTTCAAGGCATCAATAATTTTAACCACCACAAATTGGAAACAATCCAAATACCTACACAAATAGATTGAATGCGAAATAAACTGTGGTAGACTCATTCCTTACGAGACATTATATAGCTATAAGGAAGAACAAACTTCTGCTACGCAGAACAGAGTAAATGAACTCCATAAACATAATGTTGAAAGAATGAAACCAGACACAATAAGTGACATATTATAGAATTTTATTTTCATTTATTAAAAAAATCCAAAAGTGGAGATTACACTATTACAGTAGAAATCAGAATAGCAGTTACATGTGGATATAGCTTACTTGAAAGAAGGCATTAGTAAAGTTTTTGGGGTACAATAATATTCTGTTTTGTTAAAATACACCTATGAATAGTTTGCTATGTTACACTGGAACAAAATTTTCAACAAATCTTTTTAAATAGTATATGTTCTTTGTGTCAAAACCTTGGGATCCCCTTTAGCTGCCAAAGATGTAATAAAAACAGATTCCTGATTAAACTGACAAATTCTTTCCTAACAAATCTCACAGTGGACAGACACCATCAAAAGAGCCAAATACCAAAAGGCAAGAGGTTAAAATGAATTAAAATTTAGCTATTCTTGAATCACATGAAAATGTTACCAGATACCAGAGACTATTCTTATATTTGGGCTTTTTTCAGTGACCTAAAGGTAGTCACATGAAATTAGTTAAATAACATTACATTCAACCTTTTAAAATGTAGAGTTATGACTTTTTATAAGAAATTGGCATTTTCATCATCAAGGATGTACACAACCTCTTGACACAGTGATTCTTCCTGAAATTATTTCAGGGGATTTTTTTATTAGTTTTTTTTTTTTTTTTTTAATGTGCTACTGACAGCCCAGCCATGATCTACAGACAGAAAGAAAAGAGCAGCATGATGTGCCTACAGGGGAAAAAAGAATGGGACTTTCAAAACTGCAACAATAAGAACCTGAAGCATTATAATAAGAATTCCCACAGTATCATAAGCAAGCCCATTTCCTGTTTTGTTTTTGGTTTTGGACTTTTTTAATAGTATTACAAATGAATATGGATAATAATAATAACAGAAAGTAATAGTCCTCCTTCTTTAGAACTTTCTATTTGTAACCATCTTTCATACTAACAGGCCTGCTTGGAAAGCTGGGGTGTTCTGAATCAGATCTACTTTGGTTCAAACTCTAGTCAGCCCCTTGCAAGTCCTCTAACATTGGCTGAGTTTCTCACTTACCTCGTATGTACCCAGAGGGTCAGAATTTCCCACAACAGACTTTGAGAGCACCGCCTTAGAACACACGTAAATCCATGCTGACAGTTCATCCTGCATGTGCAATGGAGATGATAAGGTAAAGACCACAGCACCTAGGGTGCACTTGATCAGTGGCAGTGCCTGGTGTGATCATCTCATTTGGCTTGTACAGAGATCTGTTAGGGCTATGCAGCAAAATGTCTCCCCATAGCAGGCATTCAGTAAGTGCTTGTTTAATAAGTGAGTGAATTCATAAATGGAGGGATATAAAAAGAAATAAGGCATGAATCCATTGTCCCAGAAGTATGAGAAAAGCAAGCCTTAGATTTATTTAGGGTCCCATTGCTACTAATTAGAAAAGTTGGGTTGCAAACCCAGTTTTTCTTACTGTAAGCCCAGCGCTCTTCCTTCATTTCTATAGCACTCACAGCAACATGCATTTGCCTAGCTCTGGATGTTGGCACTTTATCTTCATTTTGTATGTGCAATTTGTTCTGAGTTAGGAAGTGTCTGGAGTCAGCTCAGGAAGAAATTCAGTAAACAAGTTTCACACTTATGCTGATAGTAAGTGATATTTTAAATATTCCTAAACTATGATAAAATGCAGAAGCACTGAATTTATATAGTATGTATGTTTAATACAAAATAAAAATCTCACCAGAGAAAGTATTGAGCAAATAAATCCTCTTTGGGTCCTTTCATTTTTTTTTTCCTTGAAGCTATAGCCCTAGAAAATTAAACATAGCCAGATAAATGTCTTTCCCAAAGGTATTATGGTAATTCCACAGCAACATATTAGATCATTTAACTAAGGTTTAGAGAATTTCTTCAACTAGCCAGTGTCTGAGGTGTCCACATACCTTGCCTTTCCTGATAGAAATGTGCTTATTGTGGCACGCAAACCTATGTGCATGTTCACAGAATCATAAAATTGCATTCTAAAATGTCAATATGTTATCCAGTACAGTATGTACACAATGGAAATGACCCAGAACTGAAAAGCAAATTAGGTGGGTTTTTTCTTTTTTTTTTTTTTTTTTTTTACTATTGGAGATTGAACCCAGGGTCTTCACACTGAGCTACATTCCCAACCCTTTTTTATATTTTATTTCAAGGCAGGGTCTTGCTAAATTGCCCTGTTGGTTAGGCTCAGCTCAAAGTTTCAATCCTCCTACCTCAACCTCTTAGAGTACAGGGATTATATGTGCATGAGTCCACACAAATAAGCCTTTAAGTGCAAAGAACTCTAAACAGCAAGAATACTACACATAGCACAAGAATATTCTCGAAATAAATTCAAGCAGGTTAAAGACAAGTGTATCAGAAAAAAGGACCCAGACCCAAGTGGCCACTGCCATTCCCCAGGAGCTGTGCTGAGAAGGCCCTGGCTCTAGCAACTTGCTCCAAGGTGTCATCCCGCTTTGCACACTGGCGGGCATTCCTCTGGCAGGAGCTCAGCTCATGGCTGTCTCCCTTTTGTAAGTGGAAGGAAAATGGACTGGGAAGCCCCGAGGGAGAGAAAAACGTTTCAATGATTTATAAATTGCACAGTAATTGAAGTTTCTAGAAATAGTGCAGCAAAAGAACACTGGACTAGGAGCCAGGTTCTGCAGAATGACTCAGTGTGCTTCTGTGCTGTTATTCTCGTTATTATTGTCAATGCCTTCCTCTCAATGACAGTTAAATGATTATTATTAATATATACATTTATATATATATATACAAATCTATCAATGTCTTCACATTTACATCCAATAATCTTACTGACCACTATAAATATCTCTTTCCACTGCTTTTAAAGCCTTAAAACATTTTATCCATTTTATTTTTCAGTCATAAGGAGATTCTTTCATATCCTCAGATGAGGAATTTTCTAAGCCTAACCCTAAGACATCACTGCTTCCATCTTCTCTCCCTAACGCCTGATTATTTTTTAGGTTTCAGGCTAATGTCATCCCTACTGGTCTGTCTATTGTCCTTCTCCCCTGTAGCAGTCCCACTGTCCCCATAAACAGTTTTGGGCTGAGTGCCATTGCTGCATATTTGCCATCAAGCCCTTGTTCGCAAAGCTGCCCCATCATAGAACTTTGCATGCTTTTCTGAAATTGCTTTTTTCATTACCTTTTCTGGATAAATAAGAAGGTTCTGGAAGTTCTGTCTCTCCCATTCAACATTTTACATCAACCTGCTAGCATTAGGTCACATAAAAGTACCTAAAATTTCATTATTGAATAGACAGATGAATGAATGAATGAGTTAAGTCTAAATGGCATATGTAATTTGCTACTTTCTTGCCTGGGATATTCTAAGTACTCTTCTGAAAAACACCAACTTATTATTCTTGGCTGAATTTAGTGGCTTTTGTTTGTGTGGTTTGTTTTTCATTCTTCCATCTCCTCTTTACCTGTCCTATATTAGGGGCTCCTTCATATGCTCCCCCAGGTCCTTCACATCCTCCCTGGTGGTGTCTCTTCTATATTTCTGGAGTTCTGATTAATACTTAGTATCTCCCTCTAGCTAATAAGCTCTGTCTATCCAGATTAGCATTTTATCCTGACAGAGTGAACTTTTAATAAATATTTGATGAATATGAATTAATTAAGTTGGTCAATTATATTTAAACATCTAAACAATGGAATGGGCAGCGCTGTTTTGGCACCGTCTTCCTATCTCTTTCTACTAGGGAACTAATGACTGTTTCAGGAAAATGTCAGTGTTCTGATTCCATCTGGATTCTCTTTCTTGCCCATTATTTTCTAAATCATTCAGTTCATCTTCTGCATTGTAAACCATCAAAAATCATGATATATTTTCATTCACGAGAGCTTTTATTCTGATTAGAGAGAGATCTCTCAGCCTTCTGTCAATTTGATCAGAGTTGGCACTTGAGGTTTCTCGACTTTAATGACTGTATCTCAAGAACACTGGCTTGTCCTCTTCCTTAAAGCTATTGTTCGTATTCACACAAGGGCTAGAACATGAGACTTCCTCTCCTTCTGTCTCTCTCCAGGATGCCTATTGCTTTTTTACTTACAAATGAGTTTGTTCATTTTTACCTTGTCATCTCTCCCTAGCGAGTTTACCTGGTTTATGCCTTTCAGGAATGAATACACTTGCCAGTCAGTGGAATCTTCAGGTCCTGTATTATCATTATTGAGCTGAAAAGAATAATACTCAGTTTGAGCGCATCACTTGGCAACTCACTCTTTCCAACATTACACCATAGCTACAGACACCTGGGCTAAAACTATTCAATGACTTCATATCCATTATAAGTGAGTTACATGGCATCTTTACAAAATAGAGAGCAAGAAAGGAGTAATCAGTGCAATCAGCCACCATTCTGGAGGTGCCATCCAAGGTACACATTGGTAATAGGCCAGCTGTCTTGCCTTTGGTATCTAAAGGGTCATATATCTCTGCACAAAATATCTATGCTGATTCGCTTTGCCCCAGTCATTTGCCTATATATTTTTAGACACATTCACTCATTGCTCCTCCTCTTCCTGAAATCATAGTGAAACATATTTCCTAGACTTTTTTGTATAGAGTTTCCGTCAGGGATTAAATCATCTCTGGAGATCCAGAGAAGATGGATCCTACTAGATAGTCCCCTCCTTGCTCTGGGCCCATCTCGTATGAAGCAATGCTTCTGAATTCTGATAGCTTCCTGAATAAAGAGGAAATTAATGGAAATTCTTAAAATGTTCTTACAACAAAGCAGGGGCAAAAAATTCATAATACACATAAGCTTTAAAGGCTATTTCTTATCCACTCTCAAGGTTTTCCTTGCTTATCTTTCCAGAATCAGCACCATTTTCTGACCCGACCCACGGGGTCAATCCGGATCAGCGGGGCAGTTTCCTGGAGAAGGAACGGGGATTAACAGAGACAGGGCCAGAGACAGAGAGATGGAGACAAGTCGAGGAAGTCCGATCAACTCTCATTAATTGAGGAAGTGGTCGCAGCTTTTATAGGGCAAGGGCAGGCCGATGGGACAGGAAGAGGCTACGGGGTGATCTGTGATGGGTCATACTCACGTCCGTGTACGTGACATGAGTAGGAGAGGATTATGGTTAATGTAGGTGCATTATGTGCCCATATGAGGGAGAGGCGAGACAGCAGCGGGGCAGTCGCGCCACTCCCTACATCTCCTCCCTTTCTATATTTTTTAATCAGGACCTCATTACATGAACCCAACCAGGCCTTACCTGTCATGGGCTTGCGGGACAGCAGTTGGTCCTGTGCCTGTCTCAGTGGCCAATAGAGTTAACATGCATGTCCTAGTTGCCCATCTCTGGCTGCCTGTCCATTGCCCCAGGGCAGTTAGGCCATGTTGTCATATGGTCCACTCGTGGGAATTCTTTCCTGGTAGGTTTGTTGATCTGCCATCTCCAGCTGGTGGTAGTGTACCTGAACGGGCTTTGCCATAAATGCGTCTATCCAGTTATTAATGAGCGTCATAATCCTCTGAAAAATACAAGGACGCACAGAGAGGAGAAGCAACAAGGCAGCTAGGGGCCCCGGGAGGGGTGCTAGGTAGGGGAAGAGCCCTCCCCAGAGTGAGGAGAAAGGGTTAGAGGCCATCTGTTGTCTTCTCAATTTGAGCCGCTCTTTAATTTCTTGAAGTTTTCCACGAACGACGCCGAATTGGTTAACACAGAAGCAACATTTTTCCTGTAAGCCAAGACAAATTCCCCCCTGTTCTGCAGTTAGGAGGTCTAGCCCTCACCTGTTTTGGATGACTACCTCTGCCAGTGAGTCTAGCTGATCTTGTCTGTATGGTGGCAGACAGGGCCTGGACATGTTCTGACAGCTGGTTGGAGGTCTCAGTGTATTTATCTATGGAGACACCCAATCCAGCTGTACCGGTGGCCAGCACCCTGGTGACACCCATTCCTATCAGAAGTAGAACAAGAGCCACCACTCGTTTTTGGCAGCCAGAGATGTAGGTAAACTCTGGTATGGGTACAGGCTCCTGTCCAGGAATCATATCAATATCGGGCAGAATGGCAGCTAGCATACATATTCCTGACCAGCTGGATGGGAGAAAAGGGTAAGCCAGATTGGCCCCACAGACAAACACTTGTCCTGAGGGGGGGCATAAGGGATCAGTGTAATAGGCAGTTTGAGAGCAATTGGGGAACATGAGGGAGCCCACATCAATGACAGATGAGTCATTTTTAAGGGATCCCTGGATACATGGGACAGATAAATTGGTCATTCCCACCGGCTGGACAGGAAATGACTGACCAGGCATACAGGTAGAGGGGTCTCCTAGGGAGATAGGTGTTGAATTGGAGGGGATAGCTATTGGCATGGGGGTGCCTAGTGCCATGCATAGCCAGCAGTCTTTAGCCAGATTAGGGTTGGTAACATTAAGCGCCTTTTGAGGGGCTAAGAGAATATCATAGGTCTGTGGATCTAGGTCCACTCCCCAGGGTTTGGGGAGTGCCAATGGGTGGTAATTGATCTTTGGGAATAAGCTATTTATTATCTCTTCTAGTCGTTGGTGAACCTATTTTTGTCTGATCTTGTCTTGGGGGCCTCCCCCATCAGAAACATGGACAGGTGGCTCTCTGAACCAACATGTGGGTGCCCCTATATTGCCTTTACATCCTGCCTAAGAATATGGGGAGACACTGATGTCCTTGGGGATAGTGTTCCAATCTGAGGCATATTGGGGCGGAGTAGTTTTGGTAAGGATGGCTGTGAAATAAATTTTGTTATTTGGAAACTGTTATATAACAAGAGGAATGCATAGCCTCTTCATAGGAGGACCAAGAGCAGTTTGGTCTAACCTGTGGGTCTACAAGCTTTTGTTTAATTTGGGTAAGGGAGGAAGTCAGTTCACCTTCGGAAGGGAGACACTTCCAAGCCCTAGTAGCCACCACAGTGACTTGTGTGAAGAGGCCAGGATCATATCTCATTTGGGCCTCTTTGGAGTTAAAATCCCCAGTTCCTATTAACATGGGAAGGGTCCAGGGGTTTTGTCTAGCGGCATTATCTCTAACAATATTTTTACATTGTTTCATAAATTTAGACTTCCAGAGTAAATAATTGCCCCCAGAGAGAGTAGCTTTAGTTAAATCCCTCCATTCATTTGGAATGATCCAATCTTGGGTCATAGAATCTAAAACAGCAAGAGTGAAAGCAGCTGTAGGGCCATATTGGGCGACTGCTGTCTTTAATTCTTTTAAAGCTGCCACTGTGAATGGCATATGGGTCCTGATGACTTGTAGTGCTGGCGGCGCAGCACTGCCTTGCAGCTGTATGGCACCATCTTGGGGAGGCACGTTTGTCTCCGTCACCAGAAATGCCATTTTGGGGAGGGGCCCCCCAGATGTGGCGGAAGTGAGGCAAGTACCATTTGAGAAGCTGGCACCATCTTAGGGGTGGTGTCTACTTGGCCTGTCTGTAAAGTTTGGAGTTGCAGAATGAGTCTTTGCTTTTCTTGTTCTAATTGGACCTGTTGTTGTAAGTCATGAATCTCTGACTCTAAGTCAAGAAGTGTGGTAGAGGGGCTGGACAATTATGGGTGTTTTGTCATAGTGAGGGAGTTTTATGGAAACAGGGGCTACGATAGGGTCCAAGTTATGTCGGCTAGCTTCTTCTGCAAATTGTTTCCAATTGACCTCTTGTAAAGGAGTGAGGTTGGGATATAAAGAGTTGTGGTGGGCCTCAGGTGGTAGGAGCTTGGATGGCAACGGGCCGCCATCTTAGGGCTTTTTTAACATATCATTTGACTCATCAGAGGGGCAAGAAGGTTTAGATTCATCTCCTGAAGGGAGCGATGTTGGCAAAGCAGAAGCATGTAAGGCGGCTTCACCTTGGGTGATTGTTTCATCAATTTGAGGGTCTCCGCAGCGCTGTGTAAGTAGCTCCGAGATTAGGTTCCAGTAGGCAAAGGCCGTAACTGGGACCTTTTCAGGGCCAAAGACCCGATAGTAATCCTTTAATGCACCTCCTACTCTTTCACATCTTTTTGCATCAATAGAGCCCTCTAAAGGGGACCAAGTATGAATAAACTGAAAGTACCACAATAAATCTTTTTCTTTAGCCTTTATCCCCCTTGTCTTAAAGCTTTACTTAAACCTGACAGAAGCACTTATGATCACTTAATGCCTGACCCACGCCAGAAAAAAAGGGAAAGGATCGCCATCCACTTACCGTGACTCGAGCAGCACGGCAGGCTCCCAGGTAGCTTTGGTCACAAAACTCTTGGTTCCCTTCTTATGCGCGCATCTCAGGACAGCTCCCTTGTTGAGCCCTTCATGCCAGGAGCCCCATGCTGGGTGCCACTTGACCTGGCCTGCGGGTCAATCTGAATCCGCAGGGCAGTTTCCTGGAGAAGGAACAGGGATTAACAGAGACAGGGCCAGAGACAGAGAGATGGAGACAAGTCGAGGAAGTCCCATCAACTCTCGTTTATTGAGGAAGTGGTCGCAGCTTTTATAGGGCAAGGCAGGCCGGTGGGACAGGAAGAGGCTACGGGGTGATCTCTGATGGGTCATACTCAACGTCCGTGTACGTGACGTGAGTAGGAGAGGATTATGGTTAATGTAGGTGCATTATGTGCCCATATGAGGGAGAGGCGAGGATACAGCAGCAGGGCGGTCACACTACTCCCTACAGTTTTCACAACATTCTTTCTGGGCTGTTAGCCAAACAGTCACATGCTCTGAAAGCCCTTTCCCAACCCTCTGAAGACAACAAGAATCCTAGGGCTGGATCAAGAAGACATAAAGACAAAGTGTAAGAAAGACACCAAGATCTCTTACTCTGTTCTACAGTTTCTTCTAATACAATCTGGGCAAGTGGGACAGCATCATTTGAGAGGGAGTAGCACTAACTTGATTTCTCCACACTGGGATCCAGAGTTTTTTTCTGCTTAGGTACTGAGCCCACCAATTTCAGATATTTGCCATGAAAACTATTGGAAAGTATTTCTTTAATTCCATTATTTTTATTAAAAGATGTTCAGTGAGAATTTCCTAATCATTAATATGGGCCACTACATAATGATAATCTCTATAATACATAGAAATATTCTCTATTGCATCACAGAGATAGAATGACCGAGCCTGGCCTTTTAATGCCTCCAATGATGTGGAGCCCACCTGCCCCCTAGGCACCTCATTTTACTGTTGGCAGTACTAATATTTGAAAGCACTTTTGTAGGTTGAACTGAATTTTCTATTATGTTTAAAAGCTACCATTTAAAGAAGCATCATGATGTGACTTTATGAAACATTTCTAGCCAAATCTCGCAAAAAACTTGACAAGGTAGATGTTATCCTACTTCCTAGTTGAGAAAAGTTAGCTCATAAAATTTAATTTTCTTGCTTGACATCATAGCAAAGGTAACATCTGTACCAATCTTTACCTAGTCTGCAATACTGCTTTCAACTTCCAAAGAAATTATATTCTTGGCAATCTATTTAGTATTAAATAAAGTGTCATCCTTTAAGGTGTCGTAACTTTGAGAATTTTACACGTCTCCTCTTAAAATATCTGGAGTGGCTGTTATTAGATAACACAACAATTAATAGGAGAAATTTATATGTTTGGATATTAAAATCTATATAAAAATATGTGGCGGTAAATCTTCATTGCCAACTTAATTAGCTTGAGAAAGGCCTAGGAGACTATTAAAGCACATTTTTGAATGTGTCTGGGTGGGTCACAGTGGGGTGGCCTTGAGGATTATATCTTTCTCCTTTTCCCTTTCCTTCCTAGCTTCCTTTTCTCTACTTCTGGCTGCTACAAACTGGGCAGCTTTCTTCTACCACTGCCTTTCACCTTGATGCTTCTGCTTTTGAGCCAATCAGTGGAGGCTGGCACTTAAAACTATGAACCAAAAGAAAAGTTTCTTCCTTTAAAGTGTGTATATGTTTTGCCTAAGCAAAGGATATGTTGACTAATGCAGTATATGATTTTCAGTAGAGCCACATGTGCCCTTTGTCTTATCTACATACAAACATCTTTACACCCAAGTATCATCAAGATTTGATTTTCCCATAGCCATGTAAATGACTGAGGTTTCCTCCACCCACTTTCCCTAAAAGGCAGCCAGAACAAAGGCCTAAGGGGGCAGTAAGTAGAAGAAGATGGAGACAAGGAAAAAGGTAAAAAGGAAAGCATTGCAACCGCAAGGCTCTTCTATATTAATACCACTGCCACTGGGCGAGGGAGTCCCCCCCCAAAGTCAAAGGATTGTCTCAGTTCACAAAAGCACAAGATATAAGGAAAAATTAAAGCCAGATTACAGCCTTTATGAGAGTCTTGATCACATAGGTAAATACTAATAAAGAAGTCCACTAAAACTGAGCATATCACCACTGATCACTTTCATCACTGTGAACCACACAGTGACCCTAAACTGAGTGGTTAGAAGCAAGAGCTGTGGCGTTGAGTCCTGGCTCCACCACAGAACTGTCCTGTCCTCTCACAAAAGAGAATAACAACTCCATGCTGCTTGTCAAGCTACAGTTCCTGAAGGAGACAGATACTTCTTGCAAACTGATTCCAGATGTGGTTTGTGAATCTTAGAGGCCACTATGGAGAATAGCTTGGAAGGTGTGATGCAGATATCCACCTCCTGGTTGTATATCCAAAGGAAATGAAACCAGCATCTAAATGCCTATGTTTATTGTGATACTATAACAGCTAAAATGTGAAATCATCTAGATACCCATTAGATGAATAAAGAAAATATGGTATATATATGCAGCAATGTGTGATTCAACTGTAAGTGAAATCAAAATATCATTGTTTGCACCAAAATAAATAGGACTGGAGAATATAATGTTAAGCAAAATAAACCAGACACAGAAAAAAAAGATAAGTACCATATGCAGAAACTTAAACAAACAAAAAAGGCAAACTGCAAGCAGAATAGTGATTACTAGGGCCTGGGAAGGGTCTTGGGTTGGGTAAGGGGGCAAGAATGAGAGAAGGGTGACTGGTTATGATCAATGCATGCTGTATGCGTAAATGGAAATATCACACTGAGTACCATTAATTTACATACTATAAATGTGTAAAAAATAAATATACACACACTGAGAGACAGAGAGAGAGAACGTCAGATGAGTGATTTTTAAATTGTATGACTATTTTTTTAAACAGTATTTGCAAAGTTATAAAAGCCATGAATTTTCCTGACTCTTCCAACTGATATAACTTTTAGAAATTCAGCAATTACCTAAAAACCACAACATCAGAGTAAAAAACCTGACATCTGAAGTTTCAAGATTAAGGTGATCAGCTGTCTCTCTTTGCCTCAGAATAAAAGCTTTCTTAGTGCTAAAAGCAGGACAAGTCTTGGGCAAAGTGGGACAGTTGGTCAGCCTATCAAGGACACCTCTTGATTTTGCAGCTGATCTGGGGCCCTTCTGTGTACTGATCCAAACCTCCTACTCAATAGTTTATGTAAGAGAACCAGGTAACCCATTCAGGTACACTCAGAAATAAACCAACTTATCAAATAAGGAGAAATGGAAGAGAGAGTAATACAGGTGTCAGGGGACACCTCCAAAGGAACATTTACTACCAGAACAGCTCCCACGCATGCAGGAGAGGGCCTTACTGTAGGAACTGATTGATGCCAAGACGTTCCCTTAGCTTCCATATACGACTGTGCTCCATTTTTACTGAGCTGCAACCTTCTTTTCTAAAAGGAAAATAAAACAATAAATTTCTGAAAAGCATATATATATATATATATATATATATTTCTAAGGCAAGTTTAAAATACACCTACTTTATGTCCAGAGAACACTACAAAGGCAAATTAATGTTAAAAAGGAACATATACATATTTGATCCTTCAGCTAAATATATACTAAGGGCTTACCACATACAAGGCTGAATGCAGGGCTCCAGGGATGCTCAGAGATGTGAAGGACTTGGTTTTATCTGTTAGGTATCTTATTTGAATCGCCTACTATACTCATAATATCTGCTTCCTAGTTTGGGGCTGCTCCAACCTATGTAGACTTGTTCTCCAGGGTGTGGGCCATGCACAAAAAAACATTCAGTAATTCAGTCGCTTCATTTAGCATTGCTCCCTTAAGATGAAACCATAACCAATGAATTTTTAATGCATCCAGCTTACATTTTCTTCCTTGGGAGGATATTTCTGTCCACCAGAGGAGCTTAGGTATTGGGTACAACAGACATATAAAAGATAAATGAATGTGGAAAGTCCAGAAAAATTACTGCTTTAGCCCTTACCTAGTACTTATTATATTGGATAAATACTGAAATCATTTTTGCCTTCTAATTCATTATCAATAACTAGGCTCTAAAGTTGTTAAAGCTTTATGTTGCATCTGAGCTAGCAGTCCCTTTCCCTTCCATCAGAATTCAGGTAGAGAACCACACAAGTGGACCCAGCCCTGTTGATCAGGGTAACACATTTCTACCTGTTATCTGACATGAGGCCTCTTTCAGCTAAAGTCAGTTGCCACTCCATTGTTTCAGCTGATGATGCCTGACAGGGAGATGACTGATTCAAGTGACAGAAGGGTTTCAATAGAGAGAGAAGCCTGTTTAAACTGAGGCCTGTCTGCTCCAGTAAATCTCTGGTTTTATCAGCCAGGTGCAACTGGCTCATTTTGAGGAGATGGTGGCAGTCTATCTCTTTAGAGCCCCTTGTCAGGGAAGCCTCAAGAGCCTCAGTATGCCAGGTTTGATATGAGTCAAGCTCGGTATGAACAAGGATTAACCCATAAGATCGTGCGAGACTCCCTTTAAGTGTATTCCAAGCTGAGACGGGAGAAACTATAAACTCCATTAAACAAGGTAAACTTCCCTGTGTTCCTCTGCAGCAGGCATCTCATTTGCATTCCTCCAGCAGTCTGAATAAACATAACCACTGACCCAGAGGCTCTAGCTGAGAGAGCCTAGAGCCTGCAAGGTGCGAGGAAGAATAATTTCTATGTGGTCGTGGCAAAACTGGACAGCCTGTCAGAAACATGAAAACGGCTTTTGAAATCTGCATGTCTGTGTGAAGGTATAAAATATTCATACCTCAGATTAAAATATTTTATTGAATTAATATTGATTTACTATTAATTTTTAAATAGATTCATATTTCATGAGGCACTCGCAATGAACCCACCAATTGGGCCTCAGTGAGTGAAACCAATTACACAAATCATTAAGGAAGCAACCAAGAAAGCAACTCGTAACGCCTAAGGAGAGACAAAAAGAATGTGAAAATATGGCTTTGTGATAAAATAAACAGTGTTTATATAGTGACTGAAAAAAAAATAACAGCATCCTGCTCTTTTTTTCTGCAGTTTTGTTTTTTTCTGTGTATGCCAGGGAAGCATCCTTGGGCCATTTTTTTCCATTTAAAGAGATCTATGTTTGGCCTCATGTTTGAAAACTTCACTGTGGTGACATTAGTTTTTCAAAATTGCAATTAATTCCTTTCTTCCAAGAGGAAAATATAATAATAATAACTACTGAAAAGTGAAGCTTCGTTAAGAGTTCCTCCCTCCAGCGTTGGGCCAAAGCCTTTCAGAAAAGTACTGACAGCTGAAAACAAAACACATTGATTGTTGTGCTCAATTAGCATCTTCAGACACAAAGCAATGGCTGGGAGAATGAGGGTTCCCAAATGCTTCCTACTTGTTCTGTTTCAATCTGAGTTCAGAAAATGAACTCTTTCCCCCTCTGCCCATCTATAATGCTTTCCATAACCGTACCTGTACTTCTAGCTGAAAACTCCTAATACCATTATTGCGCTGAGTTCCCTCTGCATAGGAAAATGTTTTGACTTATACAAGGGGCCTTTACTGCCTAGGCAACATCTTTATTCATCCTCCTTTTCTTTTCGTATCTCATTCATGCTTTCCTTTTCTATTCCACCACTCTAAATTGGGCCACCCTTGCTCAGTTTATTGTAGTCAGCCTCTCTTTTACAGAAAACACTAATATGGTCAGTTATAGGACAATATACGGATCATTCCTCACTGTGTGATGAAGGGCTTTACTGTGAACAAGATTTTAAGACATGGGAAATCTGCAGGAGATGCTACACTGGGTTAGAATAGCCACATGGGGCTAAGATGATGCTCAGGGTCTCCTAATTAGATAAAGCCATTGTTTAGATTCAGACAATACCTGTTTACAGTTCAATATACAACTTGTCACAGTTGCTTGCTCAAAGCAGACCTAGATGTCAATGCAAACAGTTAGTACAGAGGTAGTGAAATAAATTGGTCTCCTGAGTAAATAAATTGAGCAGCAATGTGAAACCGCCTCATCAGTACTAGGAAGATAATCATTTATAAAGGTTCAAAATGGCGTTTCATAAGTATTGACATTTAGAGAAATGTCTTTCCCCATCTAAATGGCTACCCTCCCTTTTTCTATTTTCACCAGCCACTAAAAAAGAAAAGTAATAATGAAATAGAAAGAGAGAATAAAGTATTTCTGGAGTCATCCCATCAAAGTTTTGTAGTTCTTTGTATATAAAATGTAATAAACATCCAAAAGATGACTAGTTTCTCATATAAATTATGGATAAGTACCACACCTGCCTTCAAGGATTTTCCATTCTGTCATCATAGAATGGAACCAGACCAAAATATAAGACAAGTGGAAAGGTCACTTGGCCAAATGCCTAGGTTTCACTGTTGTTTACTGTTGATCAGTGATGAAAGGGAATCCATGAAAAGGAGAACTGAGGGCAAGTGTATCATTGGGACAGTCATCAGGGCGATAAAGTAAGGGTGGTGAGAATAAGAAATGAGACAGCATCATTGGGTCCTTGTTTAATAAGGCAATGACTAGGCACACAGACATTGCTCTCCAAAGACCTTTGAAAGAAAGTATCTGCTGTAGGAGATGTAACTTAGAAACAGTTGGATGTGAGGGGTTGATAATTGTTGCATATATCAACAGAGAAACCAAAGTCCCAGCCAGAAACTGCCATGTACATGAAAACACCAGCAAGCAATATGGTGTACACCAGTTCTTAGATGAGGTAAGAGAAGAAGGCATCAGCATTTATTTACTTCCTGCTATCTTTAAGTCCTCACTGCAGGATACAGTATACACCAGCATATCCAAGAGCCACGAGAGAGGTAATCCAAAAGAACTCAACCAATGGAGTGCCATTACTTAGGAGTGGGAATTGGGAGCTAAATTTTATGTACTTAACAGATACCAGAAGTCTCGTCCCACAACATTCTTTTCTCCTTGCTTTTCTTAAATCCCATTTTGATCCCTCAGAACCTAAGGGAAGGAAATAGGGTCCCCCAAATCATAGAGGACATAGCCTCATTTAACTCATTTAATTGTCAAAAAAAAAAAAAAAACAGAACTCATTTAACTGTCACAGCACTTACCTTTCTAAGAATGCTCTTATATAAAAAGTTTACAGGATTCTGCCACTACAGATAATATCTGGTTCCCTTTAACACGGAATTTTTAAAATTTGAAGTAGTTCACAGCCACTGAAGCCTTTTTTGCAAAGCAAGGAAATAAAATGGAAGTGCAGCCAATACCATTATAAATCTCAATGATCCCTTCTCAGGATGAATATTTAACATCTGCCCTTGTAACTCAGATTCCTTGTATCCCTAGCTCTAAAACCACACCTGCATTTTCAAAAGGAGAGCACAAGCAGACTGTAGGGTTTCTTTCACTGGCATTTATGCTGTGGTCACAAGCCTGAGAGCGCATAATGCCAGGATTACTACTGACCTGCCCTCTGTGGAAATCTGAGCTCAGTGGTGTCTTTATAAAATGTTAGCTTTCAAGGCTACTCTAGACAAAATTGGCAGTGGATGTAGTTTTTCACCTCTATTCCCAGCTTCCATGTTCAGGGACAAAATCTCATTTACTCCACACCTCTCAGAAGAGCTTGGTGCTTTCAATCTCTTCCCCTTTGAGATGCCTGTCTTTTGGAGGCTCCACAAGACACAGAGAAAAGAAGAAAGAGAGAAGGGACTGTCTGAAAAGACTCAGATTCCAGTCCCACCTCTTACAGCCTGGATAAAGTCACTCGAGCATTTCCCTCTTCAGCTCACATTCCTCCTATATTAATCATGGATAATAAACTCAGTTACTTACTTTCTTGTGGGTGAGACACAAAATTTGACACCCATAGCTCTAGGGAGAAAATGTTTATTTTCACACATTTACAAACTTACAGTTTGTAAAGGTTTCAGTCCTAGTCAGCTGGCTTCAAGGCAAAGCAGCATGGAAGAAGTTCATGACATTGAAGAAACAGTTATGGATGGCAGTGAGAGAGAGAGAGAGAGAGACAGAGAGAGAGAGAGAGAGAGAGAGAGAGAGAGAGAGAGAGAGATTAAAGGAGAAGAGAGGGAGATAAACTCTTCCAGCCCATGGCCCACTGCCTCAGATGAGGCTTCAGTTTTATCACATTTAGCTCTAAACTAGTCAGTCAGTGGGCTAATCATGCTCTAGTGATCCAGTCACCTCCCTAAGCCTCACCTATTAATACATGAGGCTTTAAGCGAACATCTAGATGTAAACTATAATATTTCCCAAGAGTATTACACATGTTAGAGTTACAAAACTAAATGCTTTGAAACTTAAAAGACCAATTCAGGTAGCATTTTCTGATTATTCACTTACTCAAAAAAATTAACAGAATATTGACAATGTTTGATGCTGGTTGCCGTGGTGAAT